TGCCACGAGAGGTATTGTCGTCTGCCATCTGGAGAGGAGAGAAGAAAAAAAGGGAAAAAATTTTCTGGTAAATGCGAGGCGGTTAACGGGTCTGGGTACCGCCTAAGCAGAGGCTGGAACTCCCAGTGCTCGTATTGCACCCCCTTTTTTGTCAAGGCAACCGAAATGTTCTGCAACGTGTTGGGAAGTAGGGCCTAGCCCGGGGGCCAATCAGCCAGAATAAATGCCAAGCTGTCCCTGCCGGGCGAACCGGGGAAGGGACATGGCAAGCAACTAACTCCTTAGTTGGGGAGAGACTATGAGCCAGAGATTCTTGTGTCTAGGGAAGACCAAAGCAGGACTGCAAGGTATTTGAGCAGTCCCAGGATCTGCCCAGGAGTCAGGGAAACAATGCGGCCTACTGGTAGGCCTCTGATAAAAACCAATGACCCTGGGGCCGCAGGCAGAAGGGAATAATGTAAGCTGAAACCAGGTCTGGATGCGGCCTACGTGGAGGCCGGGAATCCCAGCGCACGTTCCACGCCCCCCTTTTAGTCAAAAAATTTTTTTCTGTTTAAAATAGAGGTTTGGTACGAACCAGGGCCTAGCCCAGAGACCAATCAGCCAGAAGGTGAACGCCAGGCAGCTACCCCTGCCGGACGGACCGGGGAAGGGGTGGGGGGGGCAGAGCTGCTACTTCGCCTGCTGGGGAAAAGCTGCAGGGCCAACGGGCCCTATTTCTGCAGGAGGCCTGTCGGTAGAATGAAAGACAGGCTGAGACGTGGGAGTCCCAGGCTGCCTAATGGTCAGTTAAGGCTGCGGCCTGTAAAAGGGCCTCTAGTAATGGCGGACGGCCATGCGGCCACTCACAAGATGGCGGCCGTTCCGGGGCACGCCCAAGATGGCGGACGCCACAGGGGGCCCAAGATGGAGGCCGCAAGTAACGGAGGCAGCCCCAGCGGCGGTAAACTCCCAGGGAAAAGTAGAGAAATCGACCCTTTGGGAGAACCAGGGAAGCGTTCCCTGGGCTAGATGGCGTTCGCGGGGGGGAACGGCGGCTAAAACGAGGAGAGGCAGGCAGAAACGAAGCGGCCTCGCGCGGAGCGATTAGGCGGCAAACGAAGCGGTGGGGGGGGGCAGCGCTCGAAGCGCTCGTTTTCTCCCCTTAAGGAAACAGTTCGGATGTTAAAAACACTCCCTGGGGAGTTCAAACCTGAGGTCCTGCGCTGCCTGCCGGTGATCCACTAGAAAGCGATGAGAAGAAGAGGCCTAGAATGCTGAACGACCGGAGCAAGAGAAAAACAGCCTGTTTGCCACGAGGCTGAGCAAAAAACTGGGGAGCGCCCGAGGACCACGTGATGGTGAGGGGCGTTCCTCAATTTCAAGCTCAGCCTGTGAGAGCCGAGACTGGAGCTCCTCCCAACCTGGACGCTCGAGACAGCTCAATGGAAAATTTTGTGTTCCATTTCTTCAATCTCAAAAATATCTGTGGTTTCCTCACTTACAGTATTCGTTCCCTTTTCATTATATCCTTCACTCTTTGCATTCCATGTAGGAGTTTCATCCCATTTTGTATTGGCTCATATTCACCTCCATGCATTGAAATGTAACATTCTGCTTATTTACTGTATACTTTGTCCATCTTTAGAGACCCTGAAATTGATCATATAACTTTATCCCTGTATTTGCATTCAATATCTATCTTTCATACCCTTACCTGCCCCACCATTTACTTGACATCATGTTATTTGGGGGGGGGGAATAAGGTTGCCCCTTCTCCCCCATTCATTTAAGTTTCTCAGATCAGGCTTTCACAGCACCATTCAGACGTTCAATCCTAATTCTTGGGAGAGGTAGCATATTACTAAAATAAACAAGAATATTTGTGGCTCTGGGCTGAAATGAGGGATCCTTGATGCTTTTGAGCTTGGTTGTTTTCTTGCAAATGGTTCATTACCCAAACTAGGTAACATCATCAGTGCTAGTCTGCACGAAAACAACCAAGCTTGGAGTGGACCAAGGTAGAATATTATTGCCTGTATGCATGTCACAACTGAAGACTCAAAACTATATTGTACATTTATCAACTTGGTTACCACTTCAATCACCTAAGTAAAGTAGGTGAGATCAATAACTTCCTACTACTGATATGTAGTCTGTTGTTTGTATCCAGTATTATTTCTCTTTCTAATCCATATCTTTCAACCTAGGGTTATAGTTTTACATGAAACTCTTTCCACCCTGTATTCTTAATAATGCCCTTTATGGCAAGCTGATCATTTTGAGTATACTGTAGCTCTTTTAATATTTTTATAGGACTCCCTCCTATGGGAATTCTTTATGAGACATAAGAGTACTGGAGAAAATACTTGATCAAATCCCTAATATTTCATTATGAAACCTTTATTATGAGAATTCTGAGGGCCTCAATTTATTACTTTACAAATTCAGAGTATACAGTAGCATTGATACCCAAAGCAAATGACTGATAGGAGTTGCCCTTTCACAAACGGATGGCAACGCAGAAATGACCAAATTCAAAGGAAAACAAAATTAACCACAAAGCCAGGTGGTTAAATCGTTCACCCAAACAATTTCTGTCTTATCACAATATTTACCATCAATATCTAGTTGAATTGACATTTTTTCTGGAAAAGTAGAATGATACATCGAACTGAGCTATAACTATATATATATATATATATATATTTTAAATTTGATCATTAAACTTGATAATTTGAAACCAAAGAAAACTGTAGAATGGGCTGGAGAATGAGGACAAATGGAAGGAAATTAAAAGCGATATGATGCAAGCAAGGAAAAAACTGAAAGAGGAAAGCAAGATTAAATTTTAAGCTGCAGAATGTGATCAGTTTGTCAGTAAGGTCTTCCTTGATTCACTGACTTTTTAAAGCGTGTAAGCCAAAAGTTGAGTTGTAAAGGAATTCCTCTTTCAATTTTCACTTGAAAGCACTCATGGTGTTCCATTTGCCTCAGTCATTGCAACAGAAAGAATAAGACAGTGCAGTCCAATAATTTTAATTCTTCCTTGATCAACTTTCCCATCCTCCACAGCATTTTAAATCATGTACACCACCCAGAATTCTTTACCAACAGTAGTAAGTAAGATTTACAAAGGCTTATTTGGGGAAAGCTGCATTTGAAAAACTTGCCTCACAAGCAAAAATCAAACAGGGTGGTTTTTTTTAAAAAAGATAATTCCACATTTCTCTTCTAGAGCTTTGGGAACTTGAATTAAAAGCAAGTCTTGGACAAAAATAAGCAGGCAGCACAACACTGATATATTAAAAATGACTGTGTAAAGCAGGGGACTGTGGCCTGTTTAGAACCGGGATAAACAAGTGGTGAGATGCGTGCTGAGCTTCATTCATGCGAGTGGCAGGCAGTTGCGCTCACATGTATAACTCTACTTGCATGAGTGGCAGGCACCTGTGCTTGACTGCAAAGCTCCACTTGCACAAATGGAGGAGCTGTGTGCATGCCTGCCACTTGCATGGAATTATACCCTTTTACCACCCCCACCCCGCAATGCTGGGCAAAGATGAAAAAGTTGGGGACCACTGCTGTAAAGTCACAATAAAGGTAAAGGTTCCCATCACACATACGTGCTAGTAGTTTCCGGCTCTTGGGGGGGGGGGGGGGCTCATCTCCATTACAAAGCCGAAGAGCCAGCGCTGTCTGAAGACGTCTCCGTGGTCATGGGGTCAGCATGACTAAATGCCAAAGGCGCACCGAACGCTGTTACCTTCCCACCAAAGTGGTCCCTATTTTTCTACTTGCATTTTTTAACATGCTTTCGAACTGCTAGGTTGGCAGAAGCTGGGACAAGTAACGGGAGCTCACTCCATTACACGACGCTAGGGATTTGAACTGCCGAACTTTCCAATCGACAAGCTCAGCGTCACAATATGGAGATATTAAAAAACATGGGAGATATTTTTTTAAAAACCCACCACTGCCCAACAAATCAGATATAGTTTTAACTATAATGATGGGGATTTTTTTGGCCAAAGTTAATTTGAGGTCACTAGTTATTCAATTAAAAACACAAATACATGTACTGGAAGGAATTTTCTGCCACATTTTGAGCAAAGAATCCTGGCCTACCATGTTGAATCCTTCTTAGCAACAGATCGGCCAAATAAAAATTGATCCTTGATTATTTACATAACTTTCCACTGAATTCATGGAATCTCTTAAAATGAAGCATTGGGCAATCACTGGAAATCTTCCCACCTTCCAGTCCATATTATAGTTTAATATGGTTCTTCCCCATCTACGCTCTACAATTTAATACGATTCTCCCCTATCTACATTCCCTGATGTGATGCAAGACTTTTGCTAGGAGTGAAGGTTATTGTGAGATACGGGACTGTTTGCATCGATTTTCACTTCCGGGAATTGCGCGATGCTATTTTAAGCTGAGATACTTCTGTGCATAAAATATGTAGCTGTCCTCTGCTGGAATTCAACCTTTTAAGACTATCAGTGAGTTTCACTGCCAAGACTAAGCACTTTTACAAGACTTAGTTGACTTCTTATTTTGAGGCAAGTAGAAAGAGCTGTAGGAGATATTGAAAATTTATCTTAAATCAGGTCTGTCAAACTGGTTTTCTTTGAGGGCTGGATCAGCATTGTAGTTCTCCACTGGCCAGGGGAGATGGAACAGGTGCCTCCTGCAGCACCCTGCCAGCCAAAACTGGGCACCGGTGTGTGTGTGTGTGCGCGCGCATTCCCCCACCATGCCCTGTTTTCGGTCTGGATGGTCTCCTGCACTTTGATGGCCAAAATGAGGCATGGGGGAGCCGACATGTGCCCCCTGAACCCTGTTTTGGCTGCCAGAGGCAGCGCGGACCACTCCTTTGTTATTTTAGGCCAACCCCATGAGCCAGATTTAAGCACCCTGTGGGCCGAATCTGTCCGACGGGCCTTGAGTTTGACACCCCAATCTAGATGGTAATTGTGGCCATGTGATCTAAACTCTATGGTGTTTTTTTTTAAATGCGATTCCTGTTCAGCACAGGTTAAAAGGGACAGGCATTCAATCACATGGCCACGGTCCTCATTTTGTCATTTTTAAACTCCAACTTCTAAACACCCCTGGATAGATGTGAAAGGCAGGATCCCACATCCAACAATATCCATCCCGCCCGATCTTACAGGCTGCACGTTGCACTTTAAACTCAGTCCTTGGGCGCATTAGACAGTTCTTCCCCTGCATGAACCCGCTGATGCAGTTTAAAGTCTGAACTGTTACTGAATCGTTTGGCACACAGGGAACATCGAAACGGTTTGCTTCCCGTGTGGATTTTTTGATGCGCTTTCAGGTTCATGCTGTACCGGAATGTCAGCCCACAGTCAGGACATTTATACGGTTTCTCCCCCGTGTGAATTCTTTGATGGGTCTTCATATTCACGCTGTGAGTGAAGCTCTTCCCGCATTCCGAACACTTGTAGGGTTTCTCTCCCGTGTGGGTTTTTTGATGTGTTTTCAGATTCATGTTGTAGCTGAAAGTCATTCCGCATTCGGCACATTTATACGGCTTCTCCCCCGTGTGGATTCGCTGGTGCGATTTCAGGTTCATGTTGTAGCGGAAATTCTTCCCACACTCGGAGCATTTGTATGGCTTCTCCCCCGTGTGCATCTTTTGATGTGACTTCAGGTTTGTGAAGTTCTTTCCGCACTCTAAGCACTTATAGGTTTTATCTCCTGAATGGGCTCTCTGTGGTTTAGGAAGGCTTACCCGCTCACTTAAGCCACCTCCAAACTCAAGGGATTTCGGAGGTTTTTCTCTACTGTGGCTCGTATTTTTCATTTCTTCGTTACAATCTTCTAGTTTTGGAATTTGAGAGAAGTCAGCCTCTTCAAAATGGACAGCTTTCTCTCCCCATTTCTGTTTTTCTTCAGACTTCAGTTTATCCTGTTTACTGCTTTTTCCATCATCTGAATGAAATCAATAAGAAGAATCAGAGAAAACTTTACTCTCAACCTTGGAAGAGCTGTTAGATGCAAAGAGACAATGCCTTCAACCAAAATGATACTTAACCACATGATGACTTGAGTTTTATGCTTGCGCAGACACTACGGTTTGTAAACCATGATTTTATACCTTCAACAGTTTAGAACTGTGGCTTATTCTTTAAACCATCACAAAATAAACCCAAAATGACTTGGCACAAACACTGACATGATGTGCATATATACAAACCAAAAGTTAGTATCAACAATGAAGCTGATCTGACTGAAGCCCATCTTGACAGTTGCAGCGTTGGGATTTTGTCAGTATATTCATGAACTGGAATGGAGTTTAGTAACAAGGTCAGCCAATGAATAGGCATAGCAACTAAGTCAGCCAAAGAGGACTGTTTTGGAAAGTGAAACTAGCAGTATCCTAGGCTGGAAACTGAAACTAAAAGAAGTTTAGGCATGACTATATGTTAAGCTCTGCAACTCTGCAGCTATGATGAGCTCTGAATCAGTCTATTGAAGAAGAAACTAAACTTGCTTGCGTACTGGAGCTCTGCTCTGAACTTACAACATGTTTCTCCGAGTTTTGCTCCGTGTTGGAGAAATCTACAACTGGTTTGTACAATCTACTTATGTTTATAAAGATGTTAAATGAAGCATCAGCCATCTGTGTTTATTTTTCTGGCGCTGAATTATTGCTGCAAAACTCTCAAAAAGATTTGAGATAGCTGGAATTTTGTAGCCAAAACAAAATACTTTCTCTTGGGAACCAAGGACGTTCTCACACCTGGTCAGAGAAAGGCGGAGTCATGTCACCAGGCAACCAGACAGTGCCGTGATTGGACCATGTGATTGATTGTTTTCAGAAAGTGACAAATGTTTACTTTTAATTAGGTGAAAACTGCCAGAGCTTTCAGAGTTGGTTTTCTCCAGATCTGTGCCAATATTTAGAATAGAATAGAACAGAATAACAGAGTTGGAAGGGAGCTTGGAGGTCTTCTAGTCCAACCCCCTTGCTTAGGCAGGAAACCCTACACCACTACAGACAAATGGTTATCCAACATCTTTTTAAAAGCTTTTAGAGCTGGAGCATTCAGAACTTCTAGAGGCAAGTTGATCCACTGATTAACTATTCTAACTGTCAGGAAATTTCTCCTTAGTTCTAAGTTGCTTCTCTCCTTGATTAGTTTCCACCTATTGCTTTTTGTCCTGCCCTCAGGTGCTTTGGAGAATAGCTTGACTCCCTCTTCTTTGTGGCAGCCCCTGAGATAGTGGAACACTGCTATCATGTCTCCCCTAATCCTCCTTTTCATTAAACTAGACATACCCAGTTCCTGCAAGTGTTTTCCATGTTTCAGCCTCCAGTCCCCTAATCATCTTGGTTGCTCTTCTCTGCACTCTTTCTAGAGTCTCAACATCTTTTTTACATCATGGCGACCAAAACTGAATGCCGTATTCCAAGTGTGGCTTTTCTAAGGCCTTATAAAGTGGAATTAACACTTCACGTGATATTGATTCTATCCCTCTGTTTATGCAGCCTAGAACTGTGTTGGCTTTTTTGGCAGCTGGCTCATATTTAAATGATTGTCCACTAAGACTCCGAGATCCCTCTCACAGTTACTACTATTGAGCAAGATAACACATAGACTGTACCTGTGCCTTTGATTTTTCTTGCCTAAATGTAGAACCTTACTTTTTTCACCCTTGAATTTCATTTTGTTAGATAGCGCCCAATGTTCAAGTCTGTCAAGATCCTTCTGCATCTTAAGCCTATCTTCTGGCTATTCCTGCCAGCTTGGTATGATATGTACAATGTGATATTGTACAGGAGGAGTCTTCAAACTTGACAGCTTTTAGACTTGTGGACTTCAACTCCCAGAATTCCTCCTCCAGTCATGTTAGCTCAGGAATTCTGGAAGTTGAAGTCCGCAAGTCTTAAACTTGCCAAGTTCGAAGACCCTTGTACAGCTTGGTACAATATGATATATCCAATAAAGCTATTCTTTGAGGAATCCACCTGCCTCGGAGTTTTGCTAGCTATGGGCCTGTTACTTGGAACCCTGACAGTTTGTTTAGGTGGACATAATGTGTTTTGTGAATCCACCTGATCATAATTTATTCAGCAAACGTGGCTAAGCAAACCATGGCTTAGTGCTATGTGTGAACCCATGACTGAATACTTACCTGCTAATCTGTCTTCTTGAGAATCCTTGATAGATGAATCCTCAGTTACTTCCTGCCATGACGTGAATTTAGTTTGGGGCACTGAAACAAAGTACCAAGGAAAGAAAAGAAACAAACAAAATTACTTCAGGAGCATTTTACAGTACCAAACCATTATGGCTTTAAATTTGGCCCTTTGCTTAATTACAAGTTAAAACACGAATGGCAAGTACTTGTAGTTCTTTACACACCAAAGAGCAACTAGGTTAGCTGGAGAGTTTGAAGGTTCCTATAGAAAACACACAGGTAATCTTGGACAAGGAGACTGGCAGTCAGTATGAATTAAGCTAGTGTTGGTTTTTATTTATTTCTATCCTGCCTTTATTATTTGAGTAGCTAATACCCTAGAAGAATATGACTAGAATATGAAGAGCTAACACCCATGAAGATAGGCTGAAAATCCAGATGGATTTTTACAGACTTCAACACTGGGCCCTATCTAACAAAATGAAATTCAATGTAGAGAAAAGTAAAGTCCTACGTAGAGGCAAGAAAAATCCAAAAGTACACATATAGATTGGGTGAAATCAGGCTTAATAGCAGTAACTGTAAGAGGGATTTTGGAGTCTTAGTGGACAACCAGCTAAATATGAGCCAGCAGCGTGCAGCAGCAGCCAAAAAAAGCCCGTGCAATGCTAAGTTGCATTAACAGAGGGATGCAATCGAGATCAAGTGAGGTACTAATACCACTCTATAAAGCCTTAGTAAGACCACACCTAGAGTACTGCATCCAGTTTTGGTTACCACACTATGAAAAGGATGTTGAGACTCTAGAAAAAGTACAGAGAAGAGCAATGTGTGAATGGAGAATAAGGGACGTGGTGGCTCAGTGGCTAAGACGCTGAGTTTGTCGATCAGAAAGGTCAGCAGTTTGGTGGTTTGAATCCCTAGCGCTGAGTAACGGAGTGAGCTCCTGTTACTTGTCCCAACTTCTGCCACCCTAGCAATTCAAAAGCATGTAAAAAAATACAAGGAGAAAAATAAGGACCACTTTGGTGGGAAGGTAACAGCGTTCCGTCCACCTTCGGTGTTTAGTCATGCCAACCAGATGACCACGGAGACGTCTTCGGACAGAACTGGCTCTTCGGCTTTGTAACGGAGATGAGCACTGCCCCCTGGAGCCAGAAACGACTAGCACGTATGTGCGAGGGGAACCTTTACCTAATACTCTGTCCTCCTCCTATTTTCCCCACAACAACAATCCTGCAAGGTCAGTTGGGCTGAGAAAGAATTACTGGCTCAAACTCACCCAGCCCGCTTTCATGCCTTGGCAGGACTAGAACTCACGGTTTCCCAGTTTCTAACGTGTTATCTTAACCATTAGGCCAAACTGGCTTTCTATTCTCACTGCCTTCCATGCTCTGGCCCAGGGGTCTTCAAACTTGATAGCTTTAAGACTTGGGGACCTCGACTCCCAGAATTCCTCCTCCAGTCATGTTAGGTCAGGAATTCTGGGAGTTGAAGTCCACAAGTCTTAAACTTGCCAAGTTTGGTTTACCACAATGGATGGCAGTCATTTCTGGTTATCGTAACCAAGACAAAAACTTACCCAGAGAGGGCACCATCCCGTAATTCTCCTCTAGAGCGTCCATCTGGTTTGGATCTAATGGAGTCCTTTCCTCCGTAGCCACTTTGCTAAAAGGCCCTGAGCCCTGAAAGAAGGAAACCTGTTATTCTATAAGCCAACATTTTCTCAGTGGCCTTTAAATTTCTTAGCGGAGAGAAGATGACAGGACTAATACATCATACAAAGCCAAAACACGATTCTTTTACTTAATACAAAGACAAGGCAGGAGGAATTTGTTGAACACCTGACAAAATTGTTCAGATTCCTTTCCAGTTGGGACCTGTGGGTGTCACAGGTCCATTAGGGAAGGGGTCACCAACCCCCAGTTGGTGGACCGACACTGGCTGTGAGCATGCCAGCAACCGGGCCCCCGCAAACAAGATTGCGCAAATCAAGAGTTGGAAGGGACCTTGTAGGTCATCTAGTCCAACTGCCTGACCAAGCAGCAGACCCTACACCATTGCTGACAAATGGCAGTCCGATCTCTTCTTGAAAGTCTCAACTGATGGCGCTCCCACAACTTCCGAGGGCAACTTCTGTTCCATTGGTTGATTGTTCTGTCAGAAAGTTTCTCCTTATTTCCAGGTTAAATCTCTCCTTGTTCAGTTTCCATCCATTGTTCCTTGTCTGGCCTAAAGGCGCTTTAGAAAATAACTTGACCCCTTCCTCTCTGTGGCAGACGGTCAAATATTGAAAGACTGCTATCCTGTCTCCCCTGGTCCTTCTCTTCCCTAGACTAGCCATGCCCAGTTCCTGTAATCGTTCTTCGTATGTTTTAGTCTCCAGCCCCCACATCTTCTCTGCACTCTTTCTAGAGTCTCAACATTTTTTTAATAGTGTGGTGACCAAAACTGGATGCAGTACTCTAGGTGTGGTCTTACTAAGGCTTTATAGAATGGTATTAGGACCTCACTTGATCTTGATTGTATCCCTCTGTTAATACAATTTAGGATTGCATTCGCTTTTTTGATGGCTGCTGCACACTGCTGGCTCCTATTTAGCTGGTTGTCCACTAAGACTCCAAGATCCCTCTCACAGTTACTGCTATTGAGCCTGGTTTCACCCAATCTGTAGGTGTACTTTTGGTTTTTCTTGCCTAAGTGTAGGACTTGACTTTACTACTCTATATACATTTTCTCTACATTTCTCTACATACACATCTCTATGGTATGCAGGCAGCATGCAAAACCATGCCTCCCTTCCTGTCTGTGGAAAAACCTTTCTCCACGGAACCGGTCTCTGGTACCAAAAGGTAGGAGGCTGCTGCGTTAAGGACTGGAGACTAAAACATACGAAGAACAGTTGCAGGAACTGGGCAATGAAGAGAAGGAGTAGGGGACATGATAGCAGTGTTCCAATATCTCAGGGTCTGCCACAAAGAAGAGGGAGTCAAACTATTTTCCAAGGCACCTGAAGGCCAGACAAGGAATAATGGATGGAAACTGAACAAGGAAAAATTTAACCTGGAAATAAAGGAGAACTTTTCTGACAGCGAGAACAATCAACCCATGGAACAGAAGTTGCCTTCAGAAGTTGTGGGAGCTTCATCACTGGAAGCTTTCAAGAGGAGACTGGACAGCCATCTGTCAGAAATGGTATAGGGCAGTGATGGAGAACCTTTTGGGCCCCCGAGTGTTGGTATGATACCCAAAATGCAAGGGGCTCCCTCATGTATGCATATGACCCCCACGCATGCGACCAGCGACCTGCCCCCTGCGCCTGCACAGCAGAGATATGGAGGCCAGTAAGCCAGTGGGAAGGGCATGCGCATGCATGGTAGAGCTGAGTCATTTGTGCCGGCACGTGAGCTGCAGACAAACTTACCTCACTGCGCATGCGCGTACCTCACAGCTGATTTTCGGCCAGTTTGAGGCCTTTTTTGAACTCCCAGGGGCTTGAGGAAGACCTCTGCAGACTTTTCAGGCTGAAAACTAAACCCGTTTCGTCACTTCCTGTTTTTCTGGAAATGATGAAATGGGCCTAATTTTCATCCTGAAAAGCCTGCAGGAGTCTTCCTCAAGCCTCTGGGAGGCTGAAAAAGGCTTCAAACCGGCCGAAAATCAGCTGTGAGGTGTAGTGCAGACAAGGGGGCTGCAGCAGCATGGGGAATTGTGCGTGCATGCATAGGGGGCGTGAGGGATGCACGTTACTTTCTGGGTGCTGGCGCAGAAGCATGAGCGTGCAAGCACATGCACAATTTTTGGCACAGGAGCCCAAAAAGGTTAGGCACCACTGATCCAAGTGATGCTGTTGCTGCCCCCTTGCAATGCTTGGAGGCTATGGGGGTCTGGATGGGGAACAACAGATTTGTAAAGTCAAAGGTTTTTGCAGATTGGCTTGTTCCTCAAACTGTTTTTGTTTGATAGCCAAGTTTCTGTCATTCTGATGAAAGCTACCCATCCTGCGGACACCTTTACTCACACGCTTCTCTGCCCAATCCTTGTCTTACCTGATCTGACTGCAGAGAAGCAGTGCCTCTCCCACTCTCAACGGCCCCTTGGTTTTCTGTACGTAAAAAACAAAGACAGATTTTACACTTCGTATCTTTTCTCATGGGATCGTGAGAAAAGGCAATCGACTCAATGAGACGCTACCCGCTGATCTTTACCTAGAGAAGTGGCCTTATCATTCAGGATTTTCTCAAATGGCAACCTTGGATTCGCGGTGGCTGATAAACTGTCTGGGTCAGGAAACTCTGAGGCAGGTCTGGCCAGCATCCCTTGCGCCTGGAACCAGGAAGAAGAATCCATGCAAAGGAAATTACTCATCATTTTTGTGGGTTCAACAACTTGTTCAATTGTTTTAAGTTAGTAAGAGGTTGTTAAGTGAATCTGGCTTCCCCCTTGAGGTTGCTGGTCAGAAGGTCACAAAAGCCGATCACATGACCCCGGTGTCAACTCAAAATATTTCTATGGTCTTTTTAGAGTTGCCAACAGAAAGGGAGATGGCAGCTTGCATTCCATAAATGTTTTCAAAGATAGTTTCTAGGTGAACAAAGTTTCTGCTGCACAAAATTCTAACTGGAGAGCATGATTGATGACTCTTGGCTATGGATGTGTCCCATTGGAGAATATGAATTAATGATACACCCAGGGGGTGAGGGAAAACCAGGGTAAAGGGTGACAACGAATGATGTATCTCAGAGTTGGCTACACCCAGGCAGCGCCGGCATGTGTACTCCTAATAAATCCAAGTTTTGGAAATTTGGCTAGAGACTCATGATTTAAATGGGGGGGTAACTGCCGGAGCCCTGACAGCTAGCCGACTCTGAGACACATCAGTCCCTGACACCCGGGACTCTACAATTATCACGAGTTGCTTGCCAAGTGCTTGAATTTTGATCACGTGACTGTGAGAAATGCTACAACCGTCGAGTGTGAAAAAATGGTCATAAGTCAGTTTTTTCAGTGCCGTTGTAACTTCAAAGGGTTTCTAAGCAAACTGTTGTAAGTCAAGGACTACCTGAGTAACAGGTATGTAGAAATAAATGACTGAATTAATTCATTAATGCTGGAACATGGCAATGAGAAATCACTTCCTTTTTGTGGTCAATAAAACTACATGGATATGACAGCGAGATCTTCATGGGATAGCATCTAATTGAACCTGGCTGATTTTGAAAAAGGTAAACAAGGCCCAATCTGGCTAGGACCTAAGTTGATGGGCCATTATACAAACCAAATCAATTAGCCAACCACCACCAGGGTATCTCAATCTTCATCTTTTAACAACCTCATAATCCCTCGCGGGGTGGAGTCTGGGCAACTGAATGGAACTAGCGGTGTTTTAGTGGCTGAATGCCCTTCCTGTCACCAATGCGGAGTTTTGTTCAGCAGATAATATTCTCAATAAGCCCAGAGAGAGAAATATCACCTCTACCTAGGATCAAACTCACAACCTCTTGATTGTGAGGTGAGAGCTCCACCTTTAGGCCACCGCACTACTTGAATGTTCCTCTGAATATGAGATCTAATTTAATATTTCAATATTTTATTTACTATTTCAGTCTTTCAACAGTCCACTTTGACCCCTCTTCACCAATTTCTTTACGTGATCCCTGCCAAGACGTCGACAAGTTTTCTTAAAATACTGGTGAACAGCGTTCCTCAAACATATAAAGATTTATGGTACAGGTTGTCCTCGACTTAAGACAACTGAGCTGAAATTTTCTGTTGCTAAGCGAGATCGTTAAGTGAGTTTTGCCCCATTTTACAAACTTTCTTACTAGTTGTTAAGTGAATCTGGCTTCCGTACTGACTTGTCGGAAGGTCGCAAAAGAGGAATCACATGACCCTGGGACACGCCAACTGTCATAAATATGAGTCGGTTGCCAACTGTCCGAATTTTGATCATGCAGTGGTGGGGACGCCGTTGCGATGGTTGTAAATGTGAAAAACAATCACATCACTTTTTCCAGTGATGTTGTAACTTCGAGCGGTCACTAAAGAAACTGTTGTAAGTTGAGGACTAGCTGTATTTCTGTTCTTACCTGCAACTGCCCAGACTCTTTTAAAGCTTGGGAAGAATTCTTAACAATGATTTCTATGAATTGTACGCTTGATAGCTCAGTGTGTGAGGTGATCCAAGCAATCACACTTCGTTTGATAAACTGTAGTTAAGCAAACCGTGCTGTAGTTTAATAACGTGTGAATAGAGAATAAGGGACATCGTGGCTCAGTGGCTCAGACGCTGAGCTTGTTGATCAGAAAGGTCGACAGCTCAAATCCCTAGCGCTGCATCGTTAAGTATGAAAAATGGTCATAAGGCCCTTTTTTTTCAGTGCTGTTGTAACTTTGAACAGTCATTAACCAAAATGTTGTAAGACAAGCACTAATCTGTACTAACAGAACTGAGGAGATGCCATAATCAATCACCTCAGCCTCATTTTCATTTCCTGGTTTTAATTTATTTATTTTCTGCCTTTATTATTTTCATAAATGACAAAATATATCTAATACGGGGTGGCTAAGTGGCTAAGATGCTGAGCTTGTCAGTCAGAAAGGTTGGCAGTTTGAATCCCTAGCGCCACGGAGTGAGCTCTCATTACTGGTAACAGCTTCTGCCAACCTAGCAGTTCGAAAGCATGTAAAAAATGCAAGTAGAAAAATAGGGACCACTTTGGTGGGAAGGTAACAGCGTTCTGTGCGTCATCGGTGTTTAGTCATGCCAGCCATGACATGGAGATGTCTTCAGACAGCACTGGCTCTTCGGCTTTGAGGGGAACCTTTACCTTTACTTATACACACACACACACACGTGTATGTCTGTGCATGCGTGTTGTATATATAGAAAATATGACTTCAGCAACAGTAGTCAATATCTGGAATGATTTACCCGAATCCGTCGTTACAGCCTCAAACCCTCACAACTTTAAATCTCAAACTGTCTACCATGGACCTCACCCCATTCCTAAGAGGTCCTTTAGGGACGTGCATAAGTGCACCAGTGTGCCTACCGTCCATTTTACTGTCCCCGTTTATGCCAGCTACATGACCACGGAGACGTCTTCAGACAGCGCTGGCTCTGTAACGGAGATGAGCACCGCCCCCTAGAGCCGGAAACAAGTAGCACGCATGTGCGAGGGGAACCTTTACCTTTAGAAAATGTCCACTTGCTCAAGATTTCCGCCATCCTGGAATTGGCTATCCCTTTCTTGGGTAAAATCCAGAAAAGGATGTCTTTTTGGATTGCTTTCCAAAACCGAACCAACGATTTAGGAAAACCCGACGATAATGCACTTACTTGTGCGCCCTCTATCTCGCTCAGAAGGAATCCTTCCGCCAAGGCGACGGCCTCCGAGCTGGTCTCCGGCCCGCACTCTCGAACCCAGTTCCCCATCTCCGGGGGTAAAATTTTCAGGAACTGCTCCAGAATCACCAGATCCAAGATCTGAGCTTTCGTATGCCTTTTGGGCTTCAGCCATTTGTGGCAAAGGTCGTGAATCCGGCTCCAGACTTCCCGAGGCCCTTCTGCTTCTTGGTAACAAAACTCCCTGAAACGTTTGTGCTGTTCTGACCAGCAAGTGTGCACCCCGCGCAGGATATTCTGTACTTTCTTCCCCCAGAATTCTGCCCCGTTTGCAACATCCAGGACATCGAGGTTCCTTCCAGCTTCCAGGCTGGTCAAATCCTGGTCTTCCATCTCTGAATTCAACCCCAAACAGGTTAGAAGATCACGCTGCTGGACAGCCAAGTTTCTTCCGGAGATTCAGATAGTGGAAACTCTTCAGCCTTAGAACGTGCAAGAAAAGATATAAGATGTGGATTGTCATTATTTTTTTTTACTGTGAACACATTGGCCCGCATTAAAAATGAAATTTTGTTGCCTGCACTTAAAAGAAAAAGCATATATCTTATCCATACCCATCTGTAACACACATATACACATGCTGTATACATATAAGGGGATGCGGTGGCTCAGTGGCTAAGATGCTGAGCGTGTCGATCAGAAAGGTTGGCAGTTCAGCGGTTCGAATCCCTAGCGCCGCATAATGGAGTGAGTTCCCGTTACTTGTCCCAGCTTCTGCCAACCTTGCAGTTTGAAAGCATGTAAAAATGCAAGTAGAAAAATAGGGACCACTTTGGTGGGAAGATAACAGCGTTCCATGCGCCTTTGGTGTTTAGTCATGCCGGCCACATAACCACCGAGACGTCTTCGGACAGCGCTGGCTCTTTGGCTTTGTAACAGAGATGAGCACTGCCCCCTAGAGCCGGAAACAACTAGCACATATGTGCAAGGATAACCTTTACCTATATACATACACACACACACATATGTATATGTGTGCATGAGCCTGCACGTTGTATATATCAAAACTATGACTTCAGCAACAGAGTGGTCAACACCTGGAATGCCCTACCCAAATCCATTGTTACAGCCTCAACCCTTCACAGCTTCAACCTCAAATTGTCTACCCTGGACCTCACCCCATTCCTAAGAGGTCCGGGGGGGAGGCGTGCATAAGCGCACCAGCGTGCCTACCATCCCTGTCCCCATTTATCTGTATTTACTTCCTTTGTTCCTGTTTATGTTCATACCTATACTTGTTATCTTGTACATGTTTGACAAACAAATTATATACGCCACACACACACACACACACACACACACATTAATCACTGTCCATTTTGAATATGTAGCGGAAAGAGGAAACTTGGTGAGTTCACAAGGTTGATGCTATATATAGAATATTGGGGAAGGGGAGATGGGACAGACGCCTCCTGCCGGCCAAAATGGGATGCAGGGGGGGCCTCGTGTAGCTCCCCGCATTCCGTTTTCATCCAGGATGACCAAAATGGAGTACGGGGGGATGTGCAAGGGCCCCGACACTCTTTTTTGGCTGCCAGAGCTACGGTGGACCAGTCCTTTGCTATTTCCAGGCGGGCCCCGCGGGCCAGATTTAAGCACTTTGTGGGCCGAATTCGGCCCACGGGCCTCCAGTTTGACACCCCCAGTATAGGGTTTCCTGCCTCAGCAGGAGGTTGGATTAGAAGACCTCCAAGGCAGTTTGGGCATGGCCAGGATGCACAGGGACAGCTCAACGCCACTTGTTTGGGGTGCACTTGTGTGATGACTGGGGGTGTGGCACAAAAGCAACACAGTCAAGTAAGCAATAAGAGTCCCTTTATTAACTCCAACTTTGCCCCCAATGTCCAGGTTACCTTTGGATGGAGAAAAACTCTCCCAGGAACAGCCTTTAACCATAGAAAATTCAGTCCAAAACAAGGTACATAAAAACTGTAACTAAAAATCCGAACAAACCAAGCCGAAGTAATTAACTTGACAGGGCAGGAGAAAGAATTTCAGACTTGAAAGCACCGCAGAACTCAGTTGGGAATATGCCAGGAACACAGATAAGCTAAAACGATACCAGATAAATTCATGTTTGCTCCCAACCACTTGCTATGCACAGCTTCCTCTTTTATACACTGTATTCCCAGCCGCAGCTAATGAAGGGAATCAGGGCCCTTTCCTCCCCCATAAGCCACGCAACTCACATTGCTCCCTTCTCTGTTCCTCCCTGCGTGCCCTAGGATGAAGAGGGGATGGGCCTGGGTCTTCCTCTGAACTCCCTCTCCCTTGCTCTGCCCAGCTGGACTTGCCCTTCCACAGTTTCCTCCACAGCCAATGGAGCCATACTCCCACTCCCTGTCAACTGTTTGGCTTCCCCTTCGGAGTCAGATTCCGACAGCGGCATGACAATCTGTGGCCGCCCAAGTGCATCTGCTACTGAAAACAGGCTCCCAAACTCCATTTTCGCTGGCAGAGGCACCGCGGGCCGGTCTTTAGCTGTTTCCAGGGTGGCCCCCACAGGCCAGATCTAGGCACCCCATGGGCTCCATCTAGCCCGTGAGCCTTGAGTTTGACACCGCTGTTCTATTCTACATGGAACGAAACTGTGACTGAGACTAAATGTGCTTTGGATACCACGAAGACGACAGTAACAAGGAAAACAGGTCGTGACGAGGTGTAGCATCCCAGGCAATCCTGCGGTCCCTGCTCAAGCGTCATTTTTATGCCGTGTCCCACATAGAAGGAAGTGAACTACCCATCATCTTTTCTGCCGTCCTCACCACTCTCTCCACCGCCTTCTTGTCTGAAGCAAAATTACATTGCCGAGATTCAATGGTATTTTTTAAAATCAGGCAGCCGGATTAGTTTCTCCCAGGGGATCTGTAGACTACGGTGTTACAGCAGCAGCAAACTGGTCATAAGTCACCTTTTTTCAGTGATGCTGTAACATCAGTCACTAAATGAACAGTTGTAAGCCAAAGACTACCTAGGGCTAGCCAAATCAGATCTCCTTTCCACTCTTTTTAACCCATTCCATCCTTCTTTCTGAGGTTAGCAAATTGAGGGCCCAGATTGTCGAGGGCAAGAGGCTGGCTCTGTAAAAACCGCTTAGAGAGGGCTGTAAAGGACTGTGAGGCAATAGATAATTCTAAGCTAGGGGGGTCTTTAAATTTGACAGCTTTAAGACTTCTGGACTTCAACTCCTCCAGTCATGTTAACTCAGGAATTCTGGGAGTTGAAGTCCACAAATCTTAAACTTGCAAAGTGTGAAGACCTTTGGTCTAAGTGCTATTGCTAATGATCTATCACTTGTCATACTCTGTACTATGACGATGATTTATCATTTGTTGCTTGTATGTACACTGAGAGAAAAATTGCAATGGGGACAAATTCCTTGTGTGTCTAATCAAACTTGGCCAAAAATGAATTATACTCTTTTCTATTATATTCTATTTTCTATTCTATTCCATTTCCATTCTTCTATTTCTATTCTTCCATTCCATCCTATCTCTATTCTATGTTATTCTATTCCATCTATTCTATCCCTATTCCTATTCTTCCATTCCATCCTATCCCTATTCTATTCTATATTCTATTTCATTCTATTCTATTCCATTCCATCTATTCTATTTCTATTCTA